GTTATAATTTTCTTAGTTACAATTTTTTTATTTCAAAATTACTAAGTATCTTTTTTATAAAATTTTACATATATATTGAAATCTGAAATATTAAATTAATTACGTGTGAAATATTTATTAGTAAGAAATTCAAAAATGATTTATTATGTAAGAAATAATAAACGTTTCAAGTTTTTCTTATACATTTTTAATTATTTTTGAAATATTTATTTTTAATAATGAAAATCTTCTCAACTATTGTAAACTAAATTTCTATGTTATACCAAATAAAATTTAAAAAATGTCAATAATTTTCAAGGAAATGAGTTTTTAAATATTAGAATTAAATTTGTTAATTTTTAATTTTTTTAGTAATGAAAATTAGTGAATTGTTTTTATACACTGAAATTTTATATTATATATCAAAATATTAACATTTTAAAAATGTAATAAATTTGTATAAAACAAATTTTTCTATCTTAAAATATGTTCATAATTTTCATTAGGTTAGGTTATGAGCTCAATCGTAACAGGGATCTTCTGGCAATTTTCATTAAAAAATTAGTAATTATTATTTAGAAGAAAAACTCAAAACATAATAATTTTTGAAAATCTTAATGTTTGAATAATACATTTATTTTGATTTTTATAAAATAATTTTCGTAGCATACTTTGCGCGCAAACACACAAAGTGAATGGTTTTATTTATAATTAAATTCCTACTAATATTTTTGCTAACTGCAGTTCCGTCTGATGATCTAATATAAATTAAAGGAAGGTTGGGGACAAAAATATAAATATATCGTATTTTAAAAGAAAAAAAGCAATGAACTTTCAGTTGCGAATGAGTCAACGCTAAATAAATATTTAAAGAATATGAAATATTAATAAACCAAAAAACATGCGCATGAGTCAAAAGAATACCCATAGTAGAAAGTTGCCAAGTCGCGATCAAATACCTAAAAAGATTAAAAACAACAAATAACCTTTTGTAATTCTATAAATCCAATAAAAATGTCAAATTTGTCCCATTTTCAACTTATTGCTAAAACAAATAGATAAACAAAATTATCTAGCGCTTATAACGGTATTAACAAAATAAAACCAAATATTTACATATAGGCAAATTAATATGATTAATTTATTTATATATATATACATACTATATATACAATATGGCATAATTGCCCAAATATGTTGTTTTAGTTGAAGAGTTAAAGTTATTTTAATAGAAATAGAAAGTTGAAATTTTTGCGAGACTGGAATTAAAAAAATTTGAATTCTAATTGAACACAATAAATCAAACGACAAAATATTAACAAATTGTCATTCGCACACTCAAACACACACACGCACATACTCAGTGAAACTTATAGGTTTGTAGTTGTGTTTGTAGTAGTTGAGTAATAAGCTGAATCGTCAAGTGTTTTGTCGTTATTTTTGCACAATTTGTTGCTAGAATAGCTGCGCATCGTAAACAATCTTTGATTCCTACTCATTTTAAATAATCTACATTCAAGCGTAAACATTTTCAAGACAATCACACCAAATGTAGTAATAACTATGGTATTCTCTTTTATTGTACACACATAAACGCACACACACACCTGTTTATGCATGTCTATTTTTAAGTTTGACTTAATAAGAAATTTAACACTCTTTTCGCATTTATAAGGTTGTCCGTCCGTCCATTTATCTTATAGTCTATCGGTTTGTCTAGTCTGTTTGTCCGCTCTGCCTGAATCCAATCTTGTTTTTTGCCAGTCGCTTTTGAGGTAATGAGGCATTGGTAGAACAGATAATTTATATATTATATATACATATGTGTATATTTATATATGCTGTGTATTTTTTTTTTGTGCGCTGCTGTTTGTGTGTTTAAGCCAATTAATTGTTTATTGCTGATTATTATTAAAATACTAAAAGTATTCTAGTTGTGGAATGTTTTGCTTTTCTTATTTAAAATCGCCCGTACATACATACATACATACTTCTAAAAAATGTAAAAATATAAATAATACTGTTATATATTTACTATTATAAGAGTTAGAGGCATTTTTTTGTCAAAAATTTAATTTGATATAATTTAATTTCTTAACAAAATCTAGTTTGGTTGACTATATGCTCGTTGCGGCAGATTTTAATGGAAATAAATTGTTTTTAATTAATTTTTGAGTTTTAGAAATTATTGCTAAAAGATCATAAATAACGTTTGTGGCAGGTAAAGTAGGATAGCATAGGCTGTAACTATTTTTTAATTATTTCATTCAAAAACTGAGGAAAAGTAACAGATTTTAGGTGTTTTTCCTATGAGCTCGTATATGATTGTTTCGTTGCTTCATTTTGCTGCTTAAAATATATGTAGTCTTGTATTTTAATTTTAATTTAATTAATTGAAAAAATTATATACATAATTACCGCAATAAAATATTTTTAATTATAATCCAAACATTAAAAAGTTAATAAGCCAATTTGATTATAATAAATGACCACTCAGTTAATTAAAAATTAAAAAAATAAATAAATATAAACATAAAATAATGAAGACATACCGATGGGTTACGATAATTATGTCATAAAGTTTTTATAAAGATAATTAACAAAGCATACATTCATCAGTTTTATTGGAAATACAAGAAACTTGTGAATTAAAAAAATTTTTTTAAACAAGCAGAGATTATTATTATATTTTTTAAATTAGTTTTTTTTTTTTTGATTAGTTTTTATTCCTTCATTTTTTTCTTGCTTTTTTCGCTTTCACTTGTGGATATATAGAGACGGAGATTTTTCTAACATACTTTCTTCATTATCAAAATTTATTAAATATTTATTAATTATCAAATATCTATGAACACTTTATTAAATAAAAAAAAATTAAAGAAGTTCCAAAAATAATAATACACACCCTATTACACATACACAGCAGCCGTTATTTCTGATTGATAACGATCAAAACGTTTGGAAATTGTGAAATTCTTGTTTAACACCAGCAACGCTTGACGTTTGCAGCGGTATTCACACCTTATTTGTTACTCCACAGCATGTATGGTTCCTCCTGCCACTTTTAGTAGTTAATCTGTCACTCAATGATGTAGTGGCTGCCAGAAGTGCTCACTCAAAGTATAAATGAAAAATAATAAAACAAAATTAAGGCATAAAAGAATACAAAAATACAAGAAATCGCGCACATTTGTCTAGTTAAGTGCGTGTAAAATACAGAGCGCTGACAGTTTTAGGCCGCACTTATGCGCACACCAACGTCCCACCTTATTTGCCCAACTTTTAACTTGCAGACTCACTAACGATCATTTAATCGATATTTCATTGCCAATAGATGAATTGTAGGTACCAAAGCACCTTCCGTTCACTAATCATTATTAATTACACACTCTGACTATGCATACAATCACTTGCATATATCACACCGGGTTGGGTGAAAATTAGCTGTGGGGCATTTCGGGTATATTTATTAGCTGAACATTCAATTAATACTTTGAAAGTAAAAACAAGAGGGAAAACCCAAAATAGTTTTATAATTTATTATCTTTTTATGCATTTCAAAGACTTTCACGGCACAACTTAATTTCGGTGCGATAACAAATTAATTTGTTTACCTTTTGCCTTCAATATTTCACTTTCGAAAAAATCTGCTGCAATTATGGCCTTAGACATTTCAACACAGTTCACCGCGTTCATTTATCAAATCAACTGCTTAGCCGCTGTATTGAATTCCGATTATCCGGGTTATGTCCAGATCCAGTTTTCATACGATAGTATATAAATTTAATTAAGGCAATTAAAGTAAAATTAATACGATAAGCGAACTGTTACATAACTGTTACAGCAACAAAAGCGCGGCGTAGCGTGCGCGTATTTTGCGTGTTAATATGCAAATGTGCATAGATGTTGGAATTTAATAGAGGAACTATTAAAATACAATAAAATAAAATAAAAAGTTAAAGGAGGCATAAAATTATTTACAACAAAAGCATACACACACAAGTTTTTGGACCAACAAAAGGTCGTGAGCTGCTAATTGAAACATTTGTTTCCACATTTTTTGAAAAGTTGCCAGCTGATTGAAAAATATAATTTACTATCGTATGTAAATAAGGAAAAAAATATAATAAAAAATTAAATTAATGTTAATCGCGGAAAATATAATTTTACCAAAGTTGACACTTCATTGAAACAACAAACAACAATATTTTACGAAATGTTACAAAATAAATTTTTTCAAAATAATTAAAGTGGCCTCCTGATTGAAATTAGAAAAATTTAAAGTTAAAGCTTTTATTTCTCTTGGAATATGAAAATATTTGAATGCTATTATTGTTGTTGACAAAAAATACTTTAAATGCGCAATGATTAAAACAAAATACATTTTGTAAATAGTTGCCACCTGCATGAAATTAGGAAAATTATTCATAAAAACTTTTATTACCCAACAAATATAAAAATATGTTAAAATTAAAAAAAAAATAGGCGTAAAATGCTTACATAGATTTGGTATCTGTTTAAAAGTTATAAAATTAAATTACAAATTTTAATTTTTAAATTTTATAAATTTTAAATACATAAAAGTTACGTATAAATTAGTTCCCGAATATACAAACACTTAGCATGTAATAGTTCGGCTTATCGAGGTTGTACTGTACCCTAACACAACAATAGACAATCGCTAAAAGATGAAAGCATATAATTGTTTACCGTTATGTACGAAGTCTTGAATAAATAATTAAGATTCAAACAACTAGTTGTTGTAGGCCTAATTTGCATTTTAATGGGTATATAATAGACCTCAATGAATTTTTAATTGGATTCCAATGTGATCACAGCCTAAAATTGTTAAATAATTTTGCTAATACGAGTATTTCATTTCTTTGCTTATATTTTAAACTTATTTTAAAATGTTGCAAAATATATTTATTTTCCCCTTCTTTCTCTCTCTCTCTCTCTTCATTACAGCCTCTGCATTTATATTATTTAGTCGCCTTAAATTACTTAACCTAGAAAACTATAATGTTGCGTTGTAAGCATATTCTGCTCGGCCTTGCGGTCACACTATGTTGTGCCGCCAGCTTTGCACAGTATTCGTCGAATATGTTCCTCAATGGTGAATACCAGAATGGCATTAAGGCGAATCCAAGCAAAACGAACGCAATAAATCGGGCAACAAATATCTTTTTGGAGCATGCAATTATCAGTCGGCAGGCATCACCGTTCCAAGGACCCACGTATTTACCACCTGTGGAGATTCTAAAATGCTCCGCTGGCAAACAATGTGTTTTGCAGGGACAATGCTTGGATGGCTACTTTTCGAACCCATCGTCGAAGGCACAAGTAAGTTTTTTGAAAATAGTTCAGATACAAATATAAATAAATGATTGAAAAGATAGATTAGATACATTTTTATTTAATTTTTGAGTTAAGTTATTCTTCTTGTCAAATTTCGATGTATTGATATACATATATGTATATATTTTGTATGCATATATTCCATATAAGTGTATATATAGCTGTCCATATATCGATATTTTATTAAAAGAGTGACATAACTCAAAAATAAAAAATTTTAAGAAAAGTTCACTGAAAGATTTCAATTTGGCTGAAATATTTTAAAATAGGAAGTTAATCAAATATGGATGTGCCTAAAAAAGTATTAGAACTTGATTTTCATATTTCGTTACCTTGCATGGCGATATAGTTCATTTATGTGTATATAACTAAACTTGTTGTATTTTTGAGTTACGACAGACAAAATATGGTGCTATAACATCGAGCAGATTATCAAATAAGAAATCTACTTATTTGCTTTTGTTATTTGAAAAGGTTAAGAGGTTGTTGGTCTAAAATAAGCGTTGAAATACAACAGAATATTTTATAAATTCGTATGCAAACAATAGATTTGTATATACAAAAATATTATATGCATGTTTAAAGTAGGTGTTTCATATGTTAAAGCAACCCGTGGGGGGGAAATCGATACTTCATAAACGAAAGAAATCATCTAAAATGCTCACGCCAAACTAAGTTATTCAAAGGTTATTGTTCATAATTTATTTAATTGTTTTTCAAACCAAAAATATGTAACAAAAAACCAAACTAAATTCCATTAGCATGGCTCATAGTTTTCGGAAGCAAAACAATACTTAAAAATTATAAACAAAAGGGGATAAGCGAGTAGTTATGAAATTCCGTGATTTACGCATTGATTTTTAATCAGAAATTTATTTAAATGCTGCTTTCGTAACAATTTGCAAATGTCTACGTGCGTCGTGTGTGCTGTGTGCGCATACAATTTGATCGGTCACTGGCAAACGAAAGACTTAAGCAACGAACTTGTTCTGTATGCAAACGTCTGCACCGACTTGTGCACATACTTACACAGATTTTTAGCATGTGCATGCAGCGGTAAATATATATGTATATATTTATGCATTTAACCTATGTTTTTGTTGTTATCTTTTGTTGTAAAATATGTGAATCTACAAAGAATTCGAAGAAACCCAACGCACGCTTGTGAACTCACCAACATCAAAAACAAACACATAAGCAACAACAACAAGGGCGCAAGCGCAATGTAGTAAGCAAATGCATGCATAAATGAGTAAATACAAATGTAACTGGTGTGCGCTGCTGAATATTACACTTTGGTGAGTGCATACTATATTGTGAGCAAATACCGCAAGCATGTGTGCGCTAGCATGTTGGTGGGCATTGTCGTAGGCGCTGATGATGCTTTTTGCTGTTTTTTGTATTAATTTTTTTCTATATGTACATATACGACTTTAAATATTGCGTCCTTTTTTGTTTTAGTATTTAATTTGATTTTGTTACGCTGCCACTTATGGGAATTGGCTGCCAAGCGTTCAAGTGTGTGTAGAGTCATGGTTTGGCTTTTTGTAGCAGGCAATTAGCCGAGCAAACGAATATAATGTGAACAGGGAAGTTGGCAAGAATTAAACTTGACTTTGTAATGAAGCAATTGCCATTGTTGTTAAAACGTAATTTGCCTTTAAATTATTGCATTTCAAATAAAAAATGTTTATATATATAAATATATAATACAACAACACTAATAACGCCAACAACACTAAAAATGGCAACAAAACAAGCGTAGAATTACAACAAAAAAAAAAAATAATAACTTCACTTTGATTGCACCGAAGCTAAAATACCCTGCACAGGGGTATTTTTTATTGCAACATTTATAACTACATCTGCATGCAACGGTAAACGTTTTGCTAGTTCACACGTTGTTTGATACAGATAAAATTCAAGTCGAATTAAGATTGCTAAATAAAAAAAAAAGAAGCTTTTTATGAAGACCTTTAGCATGATTTCTATCAATCAATTTGTATGGCAGCTATATGCTGAAGTGATTTGATCTGAAAAATATATTCAGAGAATGTAACAATGCCTTGTGCAACAATCTGTGCCAAGTTTCATAAAGAAATTTCTCAAATAAGAAAGTTTTCCATACAAGAACGTAATTTAGATCAATCAATTACCTATAGTGATCCAATATCAACAATTTATTTAGAAAATGTTGCAATGCTTTGGAAAATAAACTCTGCCAAACTTCGTGTATATATGTATCTTATCAAATAAAATACTTTTTTATATGAAGAGTCGATTTTGACCGATCGGGTTATATGGCAGCTGTATGCTATAGTGTTTTATTATTGGCGTTTCTGATAAATTAGCTGCTCCTTGTAGTGAAAAATATCTCAAAACTTTTTTATTAGTTCACGTTAACACAGACAGAAGAACATGCCTAAGCCGAACACTTCATAAGGTCTCCGAAACTTTTTTCTGTGTTGTTACAACTTGTGACAAACGTAATATACACTGTTGAAGGTATAAAAATAAAATAATATATAAAATAAACAGAAAACCCCACCAGCCTTAAGAAAATGGCAAAGTGTTGTATTTTGTAATTTCATTGCTAATTCCAACTGTGTGTTGTGTCTGATTCACACGTTTAATTTGTGCGAAACACATTATTAGACGCTTACACAGTCGGCACTGTGAGAAATTAAATTCATCTGGCTTTTGTTTTCTGCAATTGCGTTCCAATTCATGCATTAGGAAATGCCCACAGCCCACGCCATGCGGATCACCATGGCTGCTGCTGCTGCTGCGAGCGCTTGCCAAGCCGTTTCTAACGCAATAGAAATTTATTTGTGCGATTCTGTTGCCATTCAAGCTTTTTTAATGGTCTATGACGAATGTTGAGAAATTTCTAAACTCACTATATGGTTTTGTATATACATATATATCTGAACCGCAGTCCGCCTCTAACATGAGAATTATGTAGATGTAAAAAAAAAAATTTTTTTAATTCAATTCTCAGCACATTTTAGCTTGTGTCAAATTCAGGTTTTCTCATCACACAATTTTTTGCCACTGAAGGTCCAACGTATAAAAATTCATATTTGATTTGGATCATCCGGCTCATAGGAAATCCGGAATGTGATTTGGGGTTTTCCTTTTAGGCATTTCGTGTTTTTGTTATTATTTTTAACAATAAACTGTGATTTGTTGCCAAGAAAGCGAAGACAGAAGACACGCAATTATCGTGATTTTTTCTAGTTTACAAAAGTGCTGACATTTTTTAAACATTGAATAGCCATTAAAATTTTTGTTTTGTGTGCTAAGGAAATTTTTTTTAACTTTTCCTCCTTTTATATGTTGTTGTGATGTGCTGAATGAAATTAAAAGCTGTCAAAGTAGTTTTAACAATTGTTACTAAATTTTAGTTCTTAACACAGCCGAGTTTCACACCCAACGCATTAAGCTGTAGCGGTTTAAGACTAGGATTAAGACTTCTTTCAGGCAAAATTAATAAGATTGTGAATTTTCTGTTTTTAGCAATTTAAGGCGTATTAAGTAATCCAAAAATATGCAATATCTAACACATCTAAGTTTGTAAAATAATTATATTTTAACAATGTAAGTTTAATTTATTGAGGTTAGAATGTAAACTCTCTAAAATATTAAGAGTTGCAGCAAAAATATTGGAAAGTTTAAGGTTAGAATGTAGTTTTTAAGCAAATGGAGGTTAACTGATTAAGGTTACAATAAAAATTATCTAACATATTATGACCTCAAGCTTTAAAATCTATAATTTGAGATTAAAATATGATTTTTCAGCAAAGCAAGTGTTATCTAATTGCTATTAGAAATTTCTCAACTTTTTAAGCCTTAAAATTAATATTTCCACGCTAGAATTTGATTTTTAAGAAATTATAAGTTAATTAATTGAGATTATAAAATATATTGTACAGCTTATTTGGATTTGTAACCTGAAGTCCAAAAACTTGTGGGTAAAAATAAGTTTCTTTGAGTTTAGAATCTCTCTAAGTTATAAAGTTTAGAAAATTGAAAATTAATAATTTTAGCTAAGAATATTAATTTTCAGCAACTCGACGTTAATTAACCTAGATGCTACAGTTTATTTGCACCTTATATTACATTACGAATTTTATGGATCAATACATTTTTTTTTTAAGAAATCAGGTCTAATTGATTGCGGTTAAAATATGGATTCTGTAACATATTAAAGTTTAGACTACTGAAAACTAAAACATAAGTCTGAAATTTAATTTTTCAATAAAACGGTTTTGATTTATTTGATGTTAGCATAATAATTTTTATCAGCTAAACAGTAGTTATAGCCTTGGATCAATAATATAAATTATCAACAATCAAGAAAAGCATTGTTCGAAAAGAACTACAAGCATTACAGAAACAGAAATTTATATATTTTTTAAATTTTTCTAAGTGGATTTTTGCGGTTTTGTGCTTTTTTCTTCAATTACTATCTCAAGGTCATTCAAATAAACGTCTATTTCAATGATGACCTTAATTGACCTACTTGAAGAAGCAAATTCACCCTGAATGCCAGCGATTAGTCACAATATTTAAATTGACCGCTCAACACAATGTCAAAGGCTGTTTAAAGTACCCACAAGATTGCACTTATATTCAGGTGTGAACAATAATGGCACTCAACGCACGAATTTCCACTTCATATTTAAAGATTTATGTAAAATGTGTGGCTTCCGCTTAAATGGAGCTGCCAACTCACGCATTTTCATTCTACTAACGACCTCATTTAAGCGACCTGTTCGCTTGGCGTCATTTATGCTGACGTGACCTCAACAGAATTTAGTAAATCACACTTTTAAACAATGAAATTAATGGTGCAGCCGCACCTGTCCTTGGTAGTGATGATGGTTTTTCTTGCACAAAGTACAGTACTTAATTAAATGTTTTTATTTCTCACTAAAATTTTGAGAGATTGTGTGTTTTCAACGTGATTTCAATAGGGAAAA